CTATGGACTAATGACTAAGGAAGCATGACTACATAGGGCCTTGCCTGACACACATTGCGCAGGCATGGTCCACCATTGTCACTATCCAGAAGTGGGCCCAAAGCAATGATGTGCAAGCAGAAACAGGAGCCAGTGCATGTAGAAAGGGATTGGCTAAAAAAGGTTTGAGGAGAGCAGCAGTGCTGTAATGCAAAAAAAGAAGACTGTTTTTAAAAATTAAACAACATGGTAATTGTTTGTTATACACAGTGCTTTAGCAAACTAAATACCATTAGTTACGATTAGAGCTATGAGGTAGCTTAGAGGGTGATGGTTTGCACATTCAGTTTTGGCCATTTCTTTGTAAGCAATTACCGTACATAGGCGCTACAAATACAAAACTGAAATCATTTTTATGTTGAAGATTTCCAAAAGTGTAAACAACAAGCAAACAGGTTATGCCCCTTCAATAAAATTGCTATATAATATTAGTTATGTCGGTGCAATAGCACCTTGTGAGATTGTTGCTTCAATTTCCCATTAACTTTTGTTAGATTTCTTCGAGATACATTCCTGTAAATGATAATAAATTCATGTGGTAATAGATTTCTTGATGGCATCTTAGAATTCTATACAAAGGTTTCCAAGAAGTTAAAGTGAAGGCATGCTCTGGCTCTTTCACCAGATTGATTTTGAAGCATGCATTTATTGATCTGTGGCTTAGCTTTTATCAGCACATAGAATACCAGTGATGTTATTTTGTTAAATCAGATGCTAGAGGTCAAGTGCAGGGAGTAACACTTTTGATATGGTCAGCCTGAAGTCAACAAATTTTACTGCGAATAATAACATTAATAGTAGTAATTTAATATATTTTCAATTGTCACTAATTTCTGTATAAATCACAGATTCATCATTCCCTTCCCATCTTTTTTTAATGCAAATGTGCAGAGATGAGCGAATCAGGTAAAGTTCGGTTTGCAGGAGCTTCAGCGAACCCTGTTATAGTCTATTGTAACCAAATCTTGCTATATATTTTTTTTTGTTTAGCATTTTCCAAGAAAATTTGCAAGCTATTGTTAAACAAAAGTACATGGGTAGCTGGGCACTGCCTTGGGGATATGTGCCAATGCAAAAATGTTTAGAAAAAATAGCATTTAGCAGGGAAAGTGTATTTTAATGAGGCTTGAAGAGCAACATTGATGGCTAGTTTACACCAGTCCCGATGCATTCTGGCCGGAAAGCAGGCACTGATGTGCCATGCATTCTAGTGCGGGCGATCACCCTGCGGCCGGAGGGAGTGGCTGCAGTGCCATTGACTTCAATGCACCGCCACACCCTCTCCCGCCAAAAAACAAAGTGAGATGGCAGGAATGCGATCCAGTGCGTTCTGGCACCTATCGGGCTGGAACGCACTGGGGCTGGTGAGAACTAGCACTAAAAATACACAAATCCTTCCAATACCATGTTTATAAAGTGACATATTTTGTTTACAAACAGTAGCTGTGGATCTGTCATTTAGTGGCTGTAGGACTAGTACTGCTAAATGACGGATCCCCTGGCCAGCTTCTCTTTCTCAACAAACTGAATGGGGATCTGTCATTTACCAGCGGTAGCACTATCGCTGCTCAATGACAGATCCCCAACTGACTTCTGTTTGTCAACAAGCAAGTTAGGGATCCTGGATGACGTCATTGGCCAAATATGTTTCTAGAGGTGGTGGGCGCATGCTATTCTCCCTCTCCGGGCCACCCAGGCTGCTTGCCTGGATAAGGGTCTGGTATAAATATTAGGAAAAATCCCACAGTTTTTTTCTTCCCATTTGTTAATGTGTACTGTCCTTTAAAGTGGACCATTACCATCTTTCATTAAAAATAACACCAGCATGCAGCTCTGCATACTGATTTAAAATCATCTTACATTCATTAGTTAAGCAAACTTGTTTTTCAGTTACTTACAAATAGAGTATATCCAATTCCTGGTTCACTGTGCAAAAATGATGTAATGTGCCCAAGCATTGCATCCTGGGAAGATTACATCAGCAGAGCATTGCTGGGAAATCTTACCTGTAATCTCATGAGATCTCAGGGAAAGGCATTTCCCTCTCCTGAGATGATGTGCATGGTCACATGTCTCAGTCACATGTGCCAGAGTTCTTGGAAGTAAATGGAGATCCAGTAAACCTGTCCTTAGTAAAAATAGCCACTGTCAGAAGACTCAGGAAGAAAAGAGATGTAAGGTATCCAAAGAATAAAACGCCGGAAATTATTTAGAAGTATCTGTTTGTAGATTGTCATTACTAAACATTTCGAAAGGTGCCTAAGTTGTTATTTTAAAGAGAGAGGTAAAGTTCCTCTTTAAGATTCCCTTATCCAGGAATATGCAGTTTTACACTCCTGAACCCTACCAGGCCACATGTCTTCAGAATTTGGAGGGTAACTTGCAAGGGGTAACAGCAAAGCTTTCCCTTAATGCAAGGCACCTTGACTCCATGGTGATGGGGCGTTATCCCCACATCCTTTGTACTAATGGGTTGTGGGTGTTTACAGAAAGGAACTTATCAGAATTTGGAAGCCCCCTTTAGAATAAGGGATCCCTAAATGTGAGCCAATATGTTGCGCTTGGTATTAACTGTTAAATATTAAATATTCCCCCTAATGTTCGTGTCCTCCTATTATATCGTGAATAATTAGTGGAAACAATATATCATTTATAAAGAAAGTGATGGTGTTCGTGTCATAAAATGTTGTTTAAAACAATAAATTCAGTGACATTAGATATCATAAAGGTATCTTTAGTTTAGTGAAACCATGGGGGTGATTTACTAACCTAAACACACACACACACACGCACCAGGTGCGTGTGCATTTTTACACAGCAAAACATATTTATCAACCAAAATTTTATTAAGGGTAAAAAAGTGATCACACTTACAGGATTTGTTGGATAAAAGCGCGTATGAGTGTAAAGGACACTCAGCCTAGTAAATCTTTTCCCGTATGTCAGCAAGGAAGCGGTGGATACCCAAGGGTATCCACCGGTACCCAAGGGTATCCAAGGGTATCCACCGCTTCCTTGCTGACATAAGGTTAGTAAATCAACCCCATAGTTTAACTAAACTAAAGACACCTTTATGATATCTAGGGGTTGATTTACTAACCTTATAAACATGCCACGAACAAGTATACACCTCTGTAGTGTGTTCCCTCCCAGCATGATCTATTGGTGGAATCTAGACACCTTTGTAGTGTGTACACACCCAGCAGGTGTGTTGTGCAAAGCCCTGCATGAATTGCAAGGTGATGTTGTGTAAATTAGCTCTAGGTTGTGTTGCTTGCGTTGATGAATGCAGGAATGTAAATGCATGAGCTAACCATTTTTGTCTAAACTGTGAAGCAGCATTATATATGCATCATGTGCATGATTTTTCCATATATGGCATTAGTGAAAATATGCTTTTAGAGACTTTTTGGTTGATAAATACGTTTTGCTGTGTAAAAATCACACGCACCTAGTGCGTGCGTGTGTTTAGGTTAGTAAATCACCCCCCTAATGTCACTGAATTTATGTTTTAAACAACATTTTATGACACGAACACCATCACTTTCTTTATAAATGATATATTGTTTCCACTAATTATTCACGATATAATAGGAGGACACGAACATTAGGGGGAATATTTAATATTTAACAGTTAATACCAAGCGCAACATATTAGCTCACATTGATCACGTTTATACACATTGTTGCAGCTGGTGACCTAATACTTTATCCTAGCGCAACTAAATTGGTGAAAAAGGGATCCCTAAATATCCACCCCCTAGGGTTCAAAGTTCTCCTTGTTAACCATGTCATTAGAAGCTGGGGTTTAATGTCGATAAATGCAAAGTTATGCACTTTGGGATTAAAAATAAGCAAATGGGTTATACAATTTTGGGTATGCTGCTAGGGAAGTCGGAAATGGAGAAAGATTTGGGGGTCATTGAAGACCATAAACTGAATAATAGATTACAGTACCAGGTTGCTGTAAGCAAAGTTAGTAGAATCCTGTACTGCATCAAGAAGGGAATGTTTTGCAGGGACAAGTCTATAATTTTGCCACTTTACACATCACTGGTTCGGCCTCACCTGGAGTATGCGGTGCAGTTTTGGGCACCGGTGCACAGAAAGGATGTCCTTGAGCTGGAGAGAGTCCAGCGGAAGGCAAACAAACTCATCAAGGGGATGGAGGACCAGAACTATGAGACAAGGCTACTAAATTAAAATACGTTCACGCTGGAAGTAAGGAGATTAAGGGGGGGCATGCTTTTCATGTACAAGATGTTCTATAGTCATAGCAACATTAGCAACAAACTCTTTAAGATTAATTCCGTAACAAAGACTAGAGGCCACCACCTAAAACTAGTAGAAAAAAAATTCAAACACAAGGGGCGAAGGGGGTTCTTCTCAGTTCGCACGGTTAGGGTATGGAACTCGCTGCCACACGCAGTGATTTCAGCAAATAGTGTGGATTCATTCAAGAAGCTTTTGGACGATTTCCTGAGAAACCATAATATACAGGGGTACAGATACTCTTAAGAATGAGATGACTCGGGGACCAATACACACACACACACACACACACACACACACTAGGTTGGACTTGATGGACTTATCTCTTTATTCAACCTCAAATACTAAGTAACTATGTAACTATATTAAAGTAGTGTACAGCCTTACAGCAGGTGATAAAAGGTGCCTGCACATACCTGTTTAGGCTTCACAAACTCGCTTTGGATCTTTCTGGGATGCCTTGAACTGGCACATGCTGTATACAAATTTAAACTATCTAGGTATCTAAACTTTTATTACATGTTTAATAAATTGGTTTAATTGTCATTGCGACACATTTTTTTTATCAATTCAAGCACTTTGATAATTTACCTAATACTTGAAAATTTTGAAATTCAAAATAAAATACTTGTTTAAGCATGTTTATTCTAGCTAATTGACTCTGTTCCCTTTTTATATACTTTCTATAGGAAACAGATCTTATGACATTTAATATCTCCATCCATCGTTCATGGTGGAGAGAACATGGGCCTGGCTGCATAAGAAGGGTAGTGCCTCCTCCTGCCAATAGAGACCTTGGCGATCACTCATTCATCTCGGTGACAGGATGCATCATTGAATTTCAGTACATAGAGGTCATCCACAGTGCTTTTCAAATACTTCTGTCTGTAAGTAACTTTCTTTTAAACTCACATCTGCTGAAAAACCAAGCACCTGAAAGTTGAGATGTTATGCCTTTTTTCTTTTATGTAAAGTAACAGTGCAAAAACGATTAGAGATATTATAATCATATTTGACAGTTAGATATTTTTTTAGTAGTTTTTAAAAATTTGTGTTAAATGAGTGAAAATGATTATACCTAAAGTCACCTCATTAATTAGTTCAAGTTTTGCTGATGTATGATAGCCATGTGTGGTCTTGAAGACTAAAATCTGAAAACCCCTGCTATAATGTAAAACAAAAGTTGTCCAATGCCATACATATAATTCATGTAGTCTTAAATGGACAATAGACCCCTTTTGTATGGCTCAAACATACATGCAGTACCTGCACTGGTTACAGCTAAACTCCTATTGTCCATTAGCAGCAAACACGGGCATGTTCAAGCTAATATACTGTATATCACATACTATAATGTAACTCTCTTTCCACCTCTGATGGAACTATCTCTTAGAAATGCAACAGATAAAAGGATTATTTCTTAGCAGCATTGATTTTGTGCCTGGGAGTTGAAGTTGTTGCTACAGAAAATGACAATGAATATTATCTGTGATTTATGACCTCGCATATCCTTCTGTTCCAGTATGTATGCATTCTTCCCATATGTGTGTATTTTATACCTGTGCGGTTAAGTTGTCTGAATAAAGCTTGCTTTGTTCCAAGAACATTTTACAGATATTCAACACTGATATAATTAGTTACAGTATGGCTGAGTAACTAGGGAACTAGCCTGGCATCCCCTGATCCCTGTCCCTCTACTCTAAAATCTATGGCAGTCATAACCAATCACAATTTGTCTATAAATATCAGTCCCTGTGAGTCTAACCCCCTTTTCTCAAATGGCAGATTCAGGGAGGGGTTCATTTATCCTGTGCAGCTCATAAAAAGCGTGTTCAGTCCATGCTTCTTGCTTTGGATCCATTTTTTTTCTCTGGAAATCAACTGCTCTATGCCACCCAGAGGGAGCAAACAATTTTTTTCCAGTTATGCAATTCATGTGGTTATCAGGTTTGCTGGTCTGTAGTAAATAAAATGTTGTCCCAGCAGACACCCGCTTGATTTTCAGTGACTGTTAACTCATTGATCAAGTTAATGTGTAAGCAATTGTTGGTTACCATTAATAATAAAGAATATACTTAACTTAAAGGATTGCTGTGCATAGAATATTGTAACCTGTTTATTGTCATGTATGAATTAGCGCTGCTGATGTGTAGTATATAAACTCTGTAAAGTCTGCACAGCATGTCAAAATGATCATTAATATTTAATAGTGTATGTGTCAGCAGTACCTGGTTGTAGTGCCTAATATTTGTACTACTAAACACACAAATCATTTTTCAAGGTTGCTCCTCTGTAGAGTCTAGCCTGTGGCAATGGCTGTGTGTTGAAATGATCTCATCATAAAGTTTTAGATTGCACACACATAAGGCTGCGCTCAAATCTTTCTCCCAAGGCCACAGCCAATGTTCCTTTCAATTTATATTATATGTCATGACCATATCATTCACCGTCCTGCTTTCTGTGTTATTTTTATAAGACGGAAACCAATATGCTTCTGAAAAGTAGTATGAAATATAGCGGAACCCTTCATTTACACCTTTCAGGTAACCTTAGAACATTTATTGCACATTTTGAAAAGTTGTAAAATGCAGAAAAAGGTTTAATTATCATCTATCAACATGTTTTTAAATGAGGTAAACTAAGTATAGTTGTAGCGTTCTGACACCATGTAATGTGTGAACATACCCATGTCATTGCACATCACATGTCTTCAGAATTGCAGGGGGTTTGGAGATGTGGAATCTTCTTAGGGCTTGTTCACACCAAATGCAGACCAGATCTGCACGAGTTTCTGCACATAGTTACATAGTTACATAGTATTTGGGGTTGAATAAAGACATACGTCCATCAAGTCCAACCCATGCAGTGCAGTGTGCTTTGACACATTTTTGCCAAGTTCCGAGCCGGTTAAAAACTACGTATTTTTGCCTAAAATGGGCTTTTAGTGCATTCCAGGGCATTTGCATGCATTTTTGATGTGTTTGCATACGTTTTGGTGCGTTCCAGAGAAAAGAAAATAGGGCATGCTGCAGTTTTTCCACATGCTCTGGAACTGAATGCTCTGGTGTGAACTAGAGCCCAAAATACCACTGGAATACATTGGATGCAGTTTTGATGCGTTCTGTAACTGGTCTGTTCTGCATCTGCTTTGCACTTGGTGTGAACTAGCCCGTAGCCAGTGCAGAGGAAACATTGGAACTGAAAGTTCACAGATAACCGCTTTACTGAAGACTTTACAACACAAATGAGATCAAATTGCATGCACCAGAAAAAAAATGGAGGACATTTGTGAGCTTTAACAGACCATTCATGTAACAGTTTTAGCTGACTGTTCCTAAAAAGAACAATATCTTTCCAACATTTTCCAACTCAAGGACATCTTTTCTTAGTACTGGTGACCAGAACTGGACCGCGTACTCCAGAAACCTTGGGGTGCAGGTTATCCTGCACCCCAAGTGACATCACAACACTTGGGGACCCAAGACATATACCTCAATTGCTTGCTAGGTTCCCCAGACCTGAAACGGCAACTTCTATAAAATATGCACTGTCTCCTATGTTTTGTTTGGAGTATTTCTTTCTTGGTAGGCAGGTTTATATCTATCCATCTAGTGCTGGGTAGTACCAGAGGGCAGATTTTCTGATGCTTACATGCCCATCTGTGTCCAAGAAGAGAGGAAATACAGGATCCCAGAGAAGTTGCAGGCCCTGCTTAAACTGAACTTGGCATGAAAATTCAAGGTCCGCCTATTAGGTAGCCTCCCACCTCCATATCAAAAAAATCTAAAAGAAAAAAAAATTGAAACTGAAAAGTAAAAAATACATACCTTGCTCTGAGAAAGCTGAGAATTGCAAATCACAAAAGAATGTTCTCCTGCAAGGTACATTCTCATGCTAGGTCTGCTTTTACAGGTGTGGCAATATTAGGCCTAAATAATTTAAAGCCAAATGCCACAGTTTTGTCTGGAGTAGGGTTTTAAATAAAAGGAATTGTCTAAACCCTGTACTTAGCTTTTTTTTTGGCTTTGAGTCATGACAGTTAGTGCATAGCTCCCAACTGTTTCTCTTTTGGAGGGATTTGAAACCAAATCCCTCCGTCCCTCTTTTCACCTCAATTGTCCCTCTTCTCAGTCTACTGTATAGACATCTATCAAAAAACCTATTGTTTGACTACAAGATGTGTTACACTGCATTAAACTCCAGGAAAAAAACAAAACACTTGTAGGTTTAACCAATTGGTTTTTGTGCATTCATTCAAACCTGAGCGTGGAGAGGGCCTGTCATTTGTCTGCATACATTGTATTAAAAGGTGTCCCTTTTTCTCAGGAAGTTGGTCAGATATGTCAGTGGAAGGTATATCAGTGTAGAGGGCTGTGTCCAGTATTTGCTCTCTTTTTCAGTTCATATTTGCAGACAGAGAGCTGTGAAAACAGAGCTAAACAGATCAGACGGACTGACTGGCAATTCATTTCACAGATTGGCTATACTAATGTGGGCAGTTAATAAGAAAATGTCCTCGTTTATAGAAAGCAAGCAGAAAATGATGCATGCAGGAGCTGCGTATTTAGTGAATGTCTAAATTCACTAGTGAAATGTGATATTTACAAATGTGTTTGGATGAGATGCACTGCATTTCTATACCCAGCAGCAATACCTGTTCTTGTTTGTTATTGCTCATTGTGTAATTCTTAAGGAATATTTATGTTAGTCCTAGTGGAATAATGAGCAGCTCTGTAGAATTTTGCAATTAGTGGCTTGAGCACAAATCCCATGAAAACATTGTCTACTGAAAAACAACATACATAAAAATGCAAAATTAAAAAAATAGAAAGGAATAGAAAAAACAATCCAACATCCACAGGGTTATTCACTTTAGGGTACAGAGTTTAGAGAAGGCAGTAGAAGTGAACAATCTAGGACAGCATAGATGAACTGGAAAGTGAGCTGAATTGGAGAATTGTTCCTAATCAGCTATTTTGGCCTAGATTGTTCACTTCTTCTGCCTTCTCCTAACTCTTCTCCCTTTAGTAAATAACTTTGTTAAACTTTCATTTGAGGAAGAGTTGTCATTATTTTTTTATGTCTAATATGTTACCAACAAGTCTTTCATGAAAAATAGACAGCAAATGTAAAGTGCTGCCTTGCTGTAACCCCAATTACTCCCAAACTCACCTGGCAGAGCATGGCTGAACATTCCCTACAGTACATTGAAAATAAGTCCAAAGTAAGCCAGAAACACGCTCTCATAAGATCCTGTGGCACAGGAGGGATGAGCCAGAGATCCAATTTATGTGCAGAAGTCAAGAATTGCATCAGGCACTCAGCCTTTTTTCAGCGTAGCATGGAGAGAGTCAGCCCTGTATAGGCTCCAAGTCTCCTTGGCGCTTACAAAGACCTAACTCTCTTAACCCCTATTAACTAAATGAAGAGGCAGGGGAGTGAAGGAAAAGTAATGATGTGCACCTTATGGAGATGGAATTCCACTGAATAGGTTGTCCTTGTCTTTCATTATAAAAAATGATCATTTTATAGGCTCTTTTAAGGGGTCACTAGCTAGATTAATTTTACATGGGTAGAATTTTTAAGTATTAGGGTCTGCTTTATTGGTAAGAATAGGTTAGATTGAGACACTTAGGGACAGTTTTTTTATTGTTTTACTTTTTTTCAACTTTGAAAGGCCCTGGCCAATCACACAGCTGGGTAGATCTCAACAGTAATGTCGGGATCCGTCCCGGCTGTGTTGGTCTTAGTATACCGCGAGCTGTAGCTCACGGTATACTGAGCTTTGGGTCACTGAGTTTTTTCATTTTTTTTTATACTTCTTTATTTATTTTTTATGAGTCTTTAATTTTTTATATTACTTTTTTTTAACACAACTTTATTGCTA